CGAACTCACAGTGATCCTCCTGCCTCAGCCTCCCAGTGCTGGGATTACTGGTGTATGCCACCACTCCCGGCTTCTAATATGCTTTCAAAATCTGTCATTAGCCAGATGTGGTGATGCATGCCTGTAATCCCAGTACTAGGAGGCTGAGACAGGAGGATTTCCGTGAATTCAAGGCCAGCCTGTACTACATAGTGAGATCCTGTCTCAAAAAAAAAACAAAAAAAAAACCTTACTGTGTTTTCTCCTATGTCTACTTGCTTGCCATGGTTGAATATTTGTTTATTATACATTTGCTATGTATGTGTGGTGCTGGTTAGTGTCTCTTAACCGCGGTGCTAGTGACACTTGGGATTGATCTGGGTAAGACTCTGGAGTAGTGTGAGACAGCTGTCCTGAGCATTGCAAGGTGCTTAGCAGTGTCCTGACCTCTTCCCACATAGGCCGGTATCAGACTCCCTGGTGTCGCCCTCAGAATGTCTCCAGATAATGCCAGATGTCCTGCAGGGGAGATTAGGCCTGCTTGAGAGCCACTGAGCCAGATAAAATAATGGCAGTTGTTGAGTATTTACTATGAGCCAGGTATGATTCTACATCCTTTAACATGATTGTTCACTTAATGCACCACTGTTTTTGTTTTTTGGTACCAGGGATGGAACTTGGGTCCTTATACTTGTGAGGCAGGCAGCGGAACCACTGAGCTAAATCCCCAGCCCTCACTTAATGCACCTTGAGACCGTGATGTTAAGTGGATCTGACACACAAGCTTAAATATCACATGATTTCTCTGAGAAACACAAAACAAATAAATTAAAGAGCAAAAGAGCGGCTGGGGATGTGGCTTAGGGGCACAGCACCTGCTTGGCGAGCACGAGGCTCTGAGTTCAATTCCCAGTACAAAAAAAAAAAAAGGCAAAATAAAAGGTACTGGGAAACAGGGAGATAGGTCTTTTGCAAAAGGGAAGAAGACCAAGAGATGGAGGGAGGAGCGAGGGGCAAGGGGATGAAAAAAGAAGACATGTTATGTGCATGTTCCAGCTCCCCACAGTGAATGTACTGCAAATATGTACTAATAAAATTTTCTAAGATCACTGTTCATTTAATCCTTCCCACATCTTTTTTTTTTCTTTTTTTGGTATTGGGTATTGAGCTCAGGACCTTGTGCTTGTGAGGCAGGTGGCAGAACCACTGAGCTAGATCTCCGGCCCCTCCCAGCACTTTTTGAAGCAGATCTTTGCTGGTTTGAGCAGTGATGAGGCTGAGGTCCCAGACCGCAGATAACTTGTCTGTGGTTATCGGCGGAGATGTGGGATTCACAGGAAGTCAGGGCTGAGGCCACCAGCCAGGCATGGGATTCAGACCAGGAAAGATAGGGCCAGCAACACAGAGCTGTATTTTCTGGCATCCCAGCTGAAACTTTTTTTCTTTTTTCAAAATTTGCTGTAATGCTTTGCATTTAAATAGTATAAGCTATGGTTTAAAGCAGTGTGTACCAAACACACAGAAGTAAGAGTAAGCCGGTGTAGTTGAGTAAGTTGTCCACACACAACCTGGAGAGTGTTTAGGTCTCAGTTCATTTTATAGTCTTGTATTTTGAATTCCTTTTATTTGAGCCGTTGGCGTTTTTTTTTTTTTTTTTAGCTCCTGGTACCAGGAATCAAACTCAGGACCTTGTGCTTGCCAGGCAGGTGCGGAGCCACTGAGCTAAATCCTCTGCCCTCCATGCCTTTTTAAAAATGTGCATCTTGGTATAGCAACACAGTGTGTAATAGCTAAAACTTGGAAACAGCCTATTTGCCCATCAATTGGAAACTGGATAAAGAAGATGTGGTTTTTCTATAAAATGGAATATTGCTCAGCCATAAAGACTGAGAAAATAGTTTCATTCATAGGAAAATGGATACATATTGAAGATATACTCCTAAGTGAAATAAATAAGGCACACGTATAAATACTGAATAGTTTCTCTGGTGTGAATAATCTGCAATAATACAGAAGATCCTAATAGGATTACTGATATTTAGAAATGGGAAGAAAGGAGCTAAAGGTGTAGGGAAGGTGGGATGGGTAGGGGAAGGGTAATAAGGGAAAAGAAAATAATGTGAGAGAATGAAAAGATGGAAATAAAGTGGTTGTAGATGGGGAGGGGAAGAGGGGGTGAAGGGAGGGCAGAGGTAAGGAGAAAAAATAAGAATCAAGACTTGTCATGTAGAGGTACAAGATCCCAACAATGAATGTAACTGTACTGTATCCCTAAAATGTACCAATAAACTCAATTAAAGCTGAAAAAAAAAATGTACATCTTGGGCCGGGGATTTAGCTCAGTGATTCTGCTGCCTGCCTCACAAGGACAAGGACCGGAGTTCGATCCCTGCTACCAAAAAACAACAAAAAACAAATGTGCATCTTATTTATATTTGTGAAATTTGGAGCTGGGTGTGATAGCACATCCCCCTAATCCAAGCTACTCTGGAGGCTGATGCTGGAGGGTTGTGAATTTGAAGTAAGGGATGGCAACATAATGACTCCATCATAAAAACAAACAAGACTTGGGTCAGGGATTTAGTTCAGTGGCAGTACTCCTGTCTCCTAAGCACAAGGTCCTGAGATTGATTCCCCATTACAAGAAAAAAAAAAAAAAAACTTAAAAAAAAAGGGCCGGGGATTTAGTTCAGTGGTATTACCACCTGCCTGCCAAGTGCAAGGTCCCAAATTCAATCCCCAGTACCAAAAAATAAAAATAAATGAATTTTTAAAGAACAAACTACATAAGCCAGGCATGGTGGCACACACCTGTAATCCCAGCACCCAGAGGTTGAGGCTGGAGGAGCACCCTGAGTTCAAGGCCACACAGTTGAGACTGTGTCTCAAGAAACTAAAAAAAAAAAAAAAAATTAGAGTCTGACCAAGAACTCTGACATTTTAGAAATAGATAAAAATGTATGAATATTAAAGTAATGTTTCCTTTTCAAAAAAGAAAAAAATATGTCCTTACATAGGAGTCAGTAGGAGTTTGTGTAGCTTGTGGATCGGTCCTAGCGCCTCACACATGCTAATCAATTATTCTGTCCTTGAGCTACACCCCGGCCTCAACCAGTACAGTGAAGTGACTAATGTTCCACTGTGTGGAAGACACCTTACTTCAGAATTCTTCACACGTTCTGTTCTGTTTTAATGATTTATATCGCTTTCCAAATTACAGCCCAGGTTGTTCTCAAATTCGCGGTGATTGTCCTGCCTCAGCCACCGAGTGCTGGGATTGCCACCATGCCCGGGATCAGAATAGCTTTAATGACAATCTTCATTTGTTGCTCCTTTGCTTACTTGCTTGCTTTCCTTCTTTTTTTTTTTTAAGTACCAGGAACCAAACTCAAGACCTTGCACTTGCAAAGCAGGCAGCTGCACCACTGAGCTAAATCCCTGGCCCACTCCTTCAAAAATTTTTTTGTAGTTTTGAATCCAGGCCCTCGTACATGTTAGGCAAGCCATCTCCTACTGTGCTACATTCCCCAGCCTATTTATTTATTAGGAGCTCATTTTTTATTTTAAAAAGTTGTCTTGCTATGTCACCAACTTGCCCCGGCTGAGCTTGAACTTGAAATCCTCCTGCCTCAGCCTCCCAGAGTACTAGAATTACACCTGTGCCCTGCCATGCCCAGCTGTCTTTCATTTTGAGACAGGGTCTCCCTGAATTGCCCAGGCTGGCCTTGCTTCAGTTTTGATCTTTCTTTCACTGAGATTACAGGTATGCACCACCAGTCCTGCCAAATTGTTCCATTTTTGTAGTTGGAGTTGTTTAGTTGGCTTTTCTTTAGGACGAAGGCCTAGATCATTATCACAGAACCTCTGTCCTTCCTGTCCATCTCTGACCATCAGTACAGTCACTTTGGGCCTTTGGAGATGTTCAGTGAGGCACATGGTGCATTACGCTTATGTCTTGGACGTGCAAGTTAGGCTTAGCTCTCTTTTCTCCGTAGGATGTTCTAGAAGAATGCCTGTCTCCTCCCAAGCTGTCCTCTTACTCTGGATGGGTGGTGGATCACATCCTACCCTACACACAGGAGAACCCCGCTCCCTCCGAGACATCCTCCTCCTCAGGATCGACTTCTACCCTAGACCAGCCCTTGCTTGTCCCCAGGTCTCCGCTTCAGAGCGCTGCCTTTACTCCAGCGTCCCCCACAGCCCCAGATGGAGCCAAGGTAAAACTGGATTTGCTTAGTGTGAAACATGGTGGCTGCAGAGTTGAAGTGTTTAATATAACAGTGACCTCTGGGGGACTAGTGATTGTTTCTCGTTACAGCTGTGTGTGTGTAGGGATAGTGTTTACTACATCAGCTGATGTTCTCTGTGAAGACATGGGGAAAACCTCCATTACTGGTATCAAGAACAGTAACCAGTTTCATGAGGAACTAGATTGGTTTTTCTCAGGAATATTGCATGTTGTTTAACTCTTGGCTGCTAAAAGGCTTACAGTAAAATTCATGTTTGCTCTTAAATTTACCTCTCTTACTGGTTTTAGTGGTTTAACCTGTAATCCCGGATATTCAGATGGCTGAGGTAGGAGGATTGTAAGATTGAAGCCACCTTGAGCAATTTTTATACCAACTAAACCTTATAGACCAAAGGAAAAAAATGAACCTTGACCAGCCGGGCGTAGTGGCGCACGCCTGTAATCCCAGCACTCGGCTGAGGCAAGGGGATTGCTGTGAATTCAAGACCAGCCTGGGCTACATAGTGAATTCCAGGTCAGTCTCATCTATATAGCGAGACCCTGTCTCAAAAAAAAAAAAAAGAACCTTGACCTAAAGCTTCTTTTGTTTAGTTTTTTTTTGTTTTGTTTTGTTTTTTGTTTTTAAGTACCGGGGATTGAACTCAGGACCTTGCACTTGCGAGGCAGGCACAGTGCCACTGAGCTAAATCCCTGGCCCATAGTTTGGTATGTGTTTGTTTGTTTTGGTACCGGGGATTGAACTTGGGTCCTTGCACTTGCAAGGCAGGGGGTGAAACCACTGAGCTAAATCCTAGCCCTACTGTTTGGTTTTTTTGAGACAAGGTTTTGGTCTGTAGTTCAGGCTGGCCTTGAACTTACTATGTAGCCCAGGCTAGCTTTAAACTTGTAGCCATCCACCTGCCTCAGCCTCCTGAGTGCTGGGATTACAGGTGTGCACCACCATCCTAAATGTCATATATTATGTAACAATTACAAAATGATCAAGCACTTAAAGGTAAAACTGTAAGCCTACTAGAAATAAAATATAAAGCATTACATGTAAAAGGAAAAATTGATGTTAGACCTCATTAAAATGATAGTTTTTGTTCTGTGAAAGACCCTGTGAAGATGATAAAAACAGGTACAGTTTGTACTTTCATATTTATACCTAGAATATACTGTATAAAGAAGCTTTCAGAATTTTTAAGAAAGAGGGCAAATTATATGACCAAACATTTCATCTGCGACAGTATAAGATGATAAATAAGGGTTATGAAAGGGAGTTCAACATTAGCTTGTAGGGCAAGAAAATTAACCACAGTGAAATATTACACATCTTAAGAAGAGTTGAAATAAAAAAACAGCAACACTACCAAATGCAGGTAGGATATGGAGAATCTGGATCACACATACTTCTGGATTAAGATATCCAGGCCAGGCATGGTAGTGTACACCTATGATCCCAGCACTCAGGAAGCTGAGGTAGGAGGTTGCTGCTAGTTGAAGGCCAACTTGGGCTGCATACTGAGGTCAGGCCAGTCTGGAATACCTACCAAGACCCTGTCTGAATCCATATACCCCTGAGCAAAGTACGAAAACAAAGGACCAGGGATTTAGCTCCTGCCTCGCCACCTGCCTCACAACTGCAAGGTCCTGAATTCTATCTCCAGTACCCAAAAAAAGAAAAAGAAAAGATAACAGTTTGGCAGCTTTCTGAACATTCTCTTAACTCTGTCACCCAGCAATTGTATTTCTGAGTATTTACATCGGAGAAATCTAAACTTCCATTCTAGCAACAAGTTATAGACAAGTGTTCATAGCAGCTTTAGTTGTAATGTCCAAAAACTAAAACCAACTGAACATCATTCACAAGGCAAATGGTTAAACCTGCTGTTTTGAGTTAACCACATCATGAGATTATTACCAGCCATAAAAAGGAGTGAATTGTAAATATATGGAGCACTCTGGGTGGATTTCAAGGGCTGTTCCATCAGCTTTCTCATCACTGAGACACAGTGCCGGACACCCACAACTTAAAGAGAAGGGTTTACTTTGACTCAGGGTTTGGGGGGATTCAGTTCATGGCGAGCTGACTCCAGGGCAGAAACATCATAGTGGAAGAATGTGGCGGAGCAAAGCCGCCTAGCTCATGGTGTCCAGGAAGCAGAGCGGGGAATGGTACCACAGAGAGAGGGCCCAGGGGTCGCGTATGGTACCCAGAGTCACCTCCCTGACCTGTCAGACACAAAGTGCTTTACCAGCCCCCTCGGCAGCCGCTCCCCAAGCTAGTCAATTTGATGCAATTAAGCTCAACTACCACAAGGATACTACATTAAATTTAAGGGAAAAAAGTTAATCTCAGAAGTTTGTGCACTATATAGTGCCATTTGTTTGACATTCTTCAACCAACAACACTGGAGAGGGAGAGAACAGATTAAGGTTTATGGATCAGAGAGGAAGTGGCCTGGTCACAAAGGTGTATGGGCTGGGCTCTGTGGTGCATGTTTGCAGTCCCAGCTATTTGTGAGGCTGAGGCAGGAGGATTGCAAGTTCAAGGCCAGCATGAACAATTTACTGAGACTATCTCAAAATAAAATAAATACAAAGGGCCAAGAACATAGCTCAGTTGTAGAGCACTTGGCTGACATGCACAAGACCCTAGGTTCAGTTCCCCAGAACTGAAGAAAAAAAAAAGATACAGAACTCTTCCCTCACAACCAGACTCCCCCATACTACGTTTTGTTTTGCTTGTTTGTATTTTCAGTCCTGGGGATTGAACCCATGGCCTCAGCAAGCATTTGACCACTGAGTTACATCTCCATCTCTTTTTTATTTCATGACAAAACAAGGTCTTTTTTTTTAAATAGTATAAATTATTTTATTTATAGAAACTTGTTACAAAACAGAAAACAAGTTCTTGATATGTTACCAGGCTGTTCTTAAGCCTGGTGACTCTCCTGCCTCAGCCTCTCAAGTAGCTGAGATTATAGGTGTTACTATAGGATTATGCCTGGCAACAGTTTTGTATATTAAATGTGTTTATGTCTACACAAGTCTACATGTGATAAAATGCACAAAACTGACATAAGCACAAAATCTGTTGAAATCTGAATAAGCCCTCTGGATTGGACCAATGCTGATTTCTTCTTGGTTTTGATATTACTGTATATTTATGAAAGATGACGCTAGCCAGGCATGGTGGCAAACGCCTGTCATCCCAGCACTCAAGAGGCTGAGGCAGGAAGATCGCTGTGAGTTCGAGACCAGCCTGGGCTACATAGTGAGTTCCAGGTCAGTCTCAACTACGTAGTGGGGAAGACTGGGGAACCATACATAGGACTTATGTACACATTCTTGCGGCTTCCTGTGACTTATAATTATTTAAAAATGTGTTTGAAAAGTGTGTGTAATGAACTTCTCAGAGCCAGCAGTTGTCAGGCGGATCCTAATGCTTCCCCTCACAAGGCCTCAGTTTTTTTCATCTGAGTTCTATCTCCAGTACCAAAAAAAAAGAAAAAGAAAAGATCACAGTTTAGCAGTTTTCTGTGAAACTGAACATTCTAACTCTGTCACCCAGCAATTGTATTTCTGAGTATTTACACTCACTGAGGATTTACACTGGCACTAGACTCACTTGTTGGTCCTCTCGGTACAAAGTTCCATAATTCTTTCAATTTACATACATTCTTGGGCCAGGGATATAGCTCGGTGGCACAGTGCCTACCTGATAAGCACAGGACCTTGAGTTTGATTCCTGGTGCCAGGGAAAAAAAATTACATTCTTGAGTGATTTTACATACTTTTTTTTTTTTTTTTTTTTTTGGTACTGGGATCGAACTTGAGCCCTTGAGGCAGGCGGCGGAACGACTGAGCCAAATCCCAGGCCCTATATACATTCTTTTATCATTCAGGAATTCTTTGTGTTTCTCACACGCTCAGTTAAACTAGATTAAAGCAAACAAGAGTTAGGGGAGGAATTATTTCCCACAAGCAGAAATGGATATGGAGTGACTTAGATTTAGAAGGTTGGTGTTCTTGTTGCTACTTGGCATTATTTTTTATTTGATCCAGTGTGTTTCCACCCATGCCTCCATTCTTCCACTCTTGCTTTTGTCTTACAAAATCTGTGGCAAGTTGGTTTGTTGGGAGAGCACTTTGGTGTTGGGCTGGTTGTGTGCTTACCTCTCAGGCCAGGAGGGAGGTTCAGGGGTGTGGACAAGAGGACACTGACCAGACAAGAGGGGGACATTTCTCGGGCGGAACAGAATAGAGAGCAAGCAGGCCAGATCGAAAACAGCAGAAAACCACCCAAGCAACACACTCGGTTTAATAAAGAAAACAGAACAAGGTCACTGTCATGGGAAGTGGCCTGCTTCCAACCTAAGTTGCTTTGTTATTTGGTGGTGTTCACAGGTTGGATCTGATCTTTGTCTAGAGGAGATAGCACGGACTTTACCACGGTAAAATCCTAATTCTTTCCCCACCTGTCTTTCAAGGGCAAACAGGAGTCCCAGCACGCAGAATCGACGACGCTGCGGTCCTCACGGGGCATCAGTGTGGAAGGCTGCATCCGGATGTACGAACTGGCGCACAGAACGCGCGGGACCGTAAGTGAGCCGTGGCACATGGCAGGCCTGGTCAGAGGGAGCCACATTTCACTGGAGTCCCTAGAGCATAGGGATGCCTTCTGTGCTGGCCATGGTGTCCCACCCACCAGGACTCACTGGGGGTTGTACTGTAATGTAGAAGGCCCACGACTATAATCCCAACACCGTGGGAAGCTGAGGCAGGAGGATTGCAAGTTCGGACCCAGTCTGGGAAACTTAGTGACTTAATGAGACCCTGTCTCAAAATTTAAAAAGGGGCAAGGATACAGCTCAGTGTGAAGGCTCTGACTTCAATCCCTAGTACCACCACAAAAAAGAGTACAGGTCTAGGGCTGGGGATTTAGCTCAGAGGTTCTGTCGCCTGCCTTGCGAGCGCAAGGTCCCAAGTTCGATGCATACCCAGTACCAAAAAAAAACTAAACCAAACCAAAAGAAAAGAATAGAGATCTAGAGTGACCACGCTGAAGTCAAATCTGGTTTCACATATTGGCTTTTTTATTTCACATGTGTTTGAGAAAATTAGTTAGGCTTCCTGGCTTCCATTTTCTTCTCCAAAAATTGGAGATGCTCCAGGATTATCAGGCAAGGTTATAGTATAAAGATGGGACCTTAGCTGGGTGTGGTGGCACAGGCCTGTAATCCTAGCATTAGGGAGGCTGAGGCAAGGAGGATCATGAGTTAGAGGCCAGCCTGGTATATGTAGTGAGTTGCTGCTTTGAACTTGCAGCCGTCCTCCTGTCTCAGCCTCCACACCCCCAGGCTCTTTTTTCTTTTTGAGAGGGGATCTCACTACGTTGCCCAGGCTGGCCTCAAACTCCTCTGCTCAGTGATTCTCCTCCCTCAGCCTCCTCATTTTTTTTTATTTGTTTGTTTCATTATAAAGTTCCTTTTAGTTAAACAGATGTCAAATATTAGTAATAGTACAGAAGTGAGTGATCAGTTAACAACTGAAAATTAGAAGGAAAACGCCATTATTGTGTTATAAAACACAGAATTTAGCACAGCAAATTTAGAGAGTGAGGGTACAGACACAGGTGCTTTCATAAATCCACTGAACAGCCCAATACCGTGAGCCAGAGAAGCAGAGAAAAAGGAAAATGCCAGGATGGGGAGGGGCGGGGATCGAAGGCAGTGTGAAAGCCTTTTCTGCTGTGTCCCCTGAGGTGGTGTGGAAGTAAAAAGCGTCTATACTTTAAAAGTTTATAGGCCGGAGATTTAGCTCAGTGGTTCGGCGGCCTGCCTTGCAAGTGCAAGGACCCGAGTTCAATCCCCGGTAGCAAAAAAAAAAAAAAAAAAAAAGTTTATATAAATCGTAAGAATTGCAACTTTCATGAAAGTCAAAAGGAGATGTTCTGCGTAGGACAAAGATAAGCCTAAGCCATGTATCGGATCTGCACAAGGGCTCTGAAAGTCACGGATGAGAGAAACAAGTGAGGCTTCCTTCTACGGCCCAAGACTGGAAACTGCTCTTGTTACACAAAAGCTGGGACGACAGAGTTTTGGGCAGGAGGTTCGGTACTTCGGGCTGACACATTGTGTGCTTGCCGATATATGAAACAAACGCAGACGTTTGTGAAAGGTTGTGCAAAGCTGCTGTATTTACAGAAACGGCACAAAAGTGAATCCCACGGACGATGCACGTGCCTACTTCACTGACATCCAAGGACTGTTCTGACGCTGCAGAGCTGCGTGGGAGCGCAGCCCCCGTGGCAGCTGGTAACACCGCGTCACGGAAGCTACACCAGAAGGGCCGATACTGCCCAAGCAGAATGCTACTGTGACGGCTGAACCGGGTTTAAGGCCATTCAGGTTCACGCGAATCCTTCAGAGTTCCCATCTCTCTGTGTGTGATTATGCGGCCTTTTTCTAATTTGTGGTCTTAAACTTCCGTTTTACAAAATCCAAAAGGAAAATAAAGAAGAAATCATGCAAGAGAGTAATAGGAGTAACATACAAAGCTGTCACTAAGATGAGGGAAGCAGAGCCAACACAGGCTTGTGGAACTTGCTCGTTACCTGTTGGAACCAGCCCTGCCCTGGGCTGAGGTGACACAGACCGTTACTTCCAAGTAGATGGCGTGTGTTGCTCACGTGTCCTTCTCACCAGTGCGCTGGTGAGCGAGTCGGAACCGCTATGCCTGTCTGTGCCCGTACGCTGGCAGCACTTCCGCTACCTGCAGAGCTGTTGGTCTCCAGCGACTTAGTGAATGAAAGGAAGTAGAGACAGTTAAGGAGGAATAAAGGGAATGAGAAAATCTGTGCAGTTCGGCTCTTTTAATCAGCCAGCCAGCTCGTGCCAAGGGGTGGTTTCCACGGGCGAAGGTCCTGTGGAGTGGGAACGTGGTCACCAGTTAACTGGGTCTTTTTTTTTTTTTTTTGGCACCAGGGATTGAACTCAGGTCTTTGTGCTTGCAAGGCAGGTGGCAGAACCACTGAGCTAAATCCCCGGCCCACCAGTTAGCTGGGTTTTATCTGGGCTCACAGTAGGCAGCTGCTTGCTCTTCATCTTTGCCTTCACCATGTTGTAATCCTCAGAATCAAAATATTTTTGCCCTTTCTGCAAGCGTTTCCTTCAGGCTTCTGCCCCAGGAGGATACCTTGCTTTTAGTTTTGATTCTTCGGCTTTCTCTGGACTCCTCACTTTATCTTCCATTTCCTTCTGCTCTGAGGCCATCCTCTTCCTGTGCCCCAGCCACAGCCCCACTGCCTTGGAAGTGGCTGCTGCCTGCGACTCTACTGCCTCTGGTGCGCCCCCACCTGGCCAACCCGTTCTCCAGCCCCTGGAGCACTTCCTCTTCCCTTCAAAGGTCACAGCCCCTTTTTTTTTTTTTTTTTTT